GCTGTCGGTGGTCCCAAACCTGTGCAGAGGCCTCCACCTCAGCATGCTTGACGCTGGAAGCTATGCGACTGCTGGGCTTCTCTGGGGTCGGCAACCTCGTTGCCTTGCTTAGGACATCCTTGCTCCAGCGCTTCAGCCTGTTGCGACGGGTAGTCTGACAGTCCGACCGCAACCCACGGACCCACGGTGACTTGAGAGAACTCGCACACACAGCTGCCAGCACACTCGCTGTGCTGGCAATCAAGTGAATGGCGCACGGAGCCCTCCGCCAACCGCATCCTTTCTTGTGCGGCATTGTGACGCTTGCAGCTGTTGTCCAGTGGTTTGGGACCACACCTGTGTGCAGGCACCCTGCTTGATGCGTGAAACGACTCGACTGCTGGCTCTCGCTGTCGAGGCAAAGGGTGTCGGCAACCTCGTTGCCTTGCTTGATGGCCCACAACTGTGTGCCAACCGAAGCCGGCCAGTTGCAAGGACGTGCAGGTCCTGGAAGGCCACAGTGAGGCAGTGGATTCAACCGGGCGCTAACGCACAGTCCGAACTTCATGTGATGCAGGAAGGATGGGACCGCCGTGGCGACAGGTGCCCGTGCCTTTTCCTTTCGAAAGCTGTTGCCGCACTGACAGATGCGGGTTGCAACTCTCCTTGCGACTCCGATAGCCTGTTGTGAGCCTGCTCCGTTGCAGCTGCTGCCGTCGCAATGACATGTGCCTTGTCTGTTGGACCTGAACCAGCATGTCTGACCACCAGCATAGCATAGCGATGAGCAGGAAGGATATCTCCGTCCTCAGAAGACTGTCGCTCTTGAAAAGATACACGCCGGGCATGGTCGCTCCGAAGAACAACCTCCAGACATCTACAGCAGTTGCTGTGCAGGCCTAACTTCAGACGCTTTCTTCATTTTGCCATGGACCTTGCTGTTTGGAAGGGAAGGGACCTAGAAAGGCATGCTGGCACGAGGACACTCCCGAACAGACTGTGGCGTTAAGGTGCCGTGCTTGTTAAAGTGCCGGACGGGGCCAGGAACTGAACGGGCTACTTTTGCCACAGTGATCCCTCCGTGGCCAGGGCCTCCCTGAGAGCATCTGAGGCCCGTGAGGAAGTCGTGCCTTTGACGGGGCTGGGAACGACCTGAGAACGGCCAGGCCTGGCCAGGACTTCTGAACGCATTTGCGGCGAGGCTTTGTTGGCGCGACACCGACACAGACTGCTGCGCCGGCCGGCACGGCACTGTGATGCGAAGAGTCCGGACGTGCTGCGGCTCGGGTCTCTGAAAATTGCGAAAGGCCAAGGCCCCTCGATCCTGGCCACGGGCCTTCGTGTGCTCCATCCGCCAGGTTTGCGTGGGCATCACCGACACCCCGCACTCTTGCTGTGTACTGCACACTGCCTGTCCAGCGCTTGCCTTCTTCGGAGCCTTTCCAAGAGGCCGTGCGCACAGCAGAGCTGTCCCGACACGGCCGTTGTCGCGATTGTTGTTCTTCACCCCAACTCAACCTTGGTCTCTTGACACGCCCAAGTGCGGCTTGCTGCGCTTGCTGTGTTTGAGATGCGCAGCACCCTCAGCCTCATCGCAGATGACTTGGTGCAATGCTCACGTCAAGTTTGGTTTGGTTTGCCTGGCAATCATGCCGGAGAATGCCGAAGCTGCTTCGAAGCAAGCACGGCAAGCACTGTGTGTTTCCGATGTCGGCACCGAAATCGACAGCGAGCACTTTTACGGGCACGACCACGAGGCCAAAGGGCCCCGAGGCTTGGCGCTCGCTTCTCAGCACCCCGCCCCCCAGAGCAGAGCCAAGCCGTCCCGGCCACACCCGTCTGCTCTGCTTAGCCGCAGCCCACGCTGCGGGTCGTAATGTGGCGAAAGGAACACCTCGACCTCCGGCGGCATGTCCTTCAGTGACACGGCAGGGGCTCAAAAGACCTGTGGCCCCTTAAGTGCCCTAAGTTAAGCTGTGACCATGCCGTATAATGCTGCCTTCATGACATGATTCGCGCTCGGGGTGTCTGCGTGAGCCCGTGTTCTTCATGTGCCACGGCGCTGTTGTGGCACTGTTGTGGTGCGGCTCGTCGCGCATGCACGTGGTGCCATGCATATAGGTCGGTTCTCACTCGTTCACTGCCGTGGGGCGAAGAATATCACCGCCTGGCCCAAGTTTTCGAGCGTCTCGGTGCAGCTGTCACCTTTCCAGGCTCCCAGCTCGCAGCTTCCCCAGCCATAGCCCTCTATCAGTCGGACCCTGCAAGCCTGACCATCCTTGTAATCACGATGCCATGACTGTCAAGATTTCCAGGCCATGCCTTGCGGGGGTTGCTCGAGCGGCCAGTGCGACGCTCGAAGCAGCCGCGACTGGCCGCATGGAAGCCGTTGCCTGCGCCGCCCTGCGCTGCGTTCTGCGGCCCAGAAGCTCCGCAAGAAACCGGCCGCACCAGGGACGCAGTCGCACGGTGCGTCTCGCTCGAAGCGTGTGGCACTGGGAGTCCACGGACACAGGCCTCGCAGCCTTGCGGCCTGCAAGCTATAGCACCCGAGTGGGCGTTCTCGAGCCCACGAGCTCCGTGGTCGCACTGGCAGGCTAGTTTCGTCAGCTTGAATTGGCGCATCCTTGCGAAGGACCTCTCGCAAAAGTTGCACTTTTGCATGCGGCGCGTGACGCGTGAAGCATCTAATTCCCGCCATGGGCCGTGCCTGAGTGAGCTGTTATCGGTCGGTAGATGTGTCGTAGGACAGTCCCAGGCACTAGCTGCTTTCCTGTCCGACACAGACAGTGCAGCATAGTGACTTCGGCGGTGGCTAAGCAGTATTTTACGGTTTTCTGCCATTTCAGACATGCAGTTACGCCCTTCTTGCGCTCCGGCCTTCTGCCGCTTGGATGCCTGACTTGTCGATTTTGGCAATCGTGCCCTCCCCTTGCTTCGTGGTAGCGAGCAGAAGATGTTGCGCAAAACGTAGTAGGGCGCTGCTGCTGTTGCAGCTGCTAGCGCTTACATTCCGTTGCCTGCCCTGAATTTGGTGCTCAGCTCGGAACCATGGTAATGCAGATTTTCGCAAGTTCCGCCTGCCCAAGCCGTAACTGTAGTGCATGCAGTTGGGCTGGAGTGCTTGCAGCTCCACATCTAGCTCGCTTTCAAGCTGCACCCAGCCGAGCTTGATCGGACAGCTGCAGGTGCAAACACCATGCAATGAACAGCTTTCTGCCGCGACACGGTCAGGTGCCTGCGTCCGCCTGCAGGCGAGCCCCATCGATGCGGATAACATGTTGAGTCTATAGCACTCCAGCTTCGTGGTGCTTGCGCATGCTCGAAGGCAGTGGTAGCAGAGCGCATCTTTCGCCTTCCGCGATCTTCTGCCGCAAGAGCAGTTGCAGCACGTCAGCTCGAGTGCTATTTGACGCTCCGCGGTGCAGCAACGAGGTGAGATCTCCCAAGGCAGAGGCCCACACAGATGTGTGACAGCGACAGCCCGTGCAAGCTGCGACGTTTCAGTGCTAGCTTTGAGGCCGAACTGAGAGCTCATGTTGGACACCGGGCCGTTTGCATGTAGCTTTGAGCAAGTCCCCGCGGCGACTCCGAGCCAGCGTGTGCTGCATGCCTTCGAGGGCTTCGGGGCTTCAGGTTGGGTCGAGCGGAGTGTAGTTCCTTAGGCACCAGAGTTGTTTTTCTGCTGCAGGGGCCTCCTGGCCAGTGCCTCGTGGTAGCTCCTCTGACCGTCCGAATCTTCATGACGGGGTTTCCGGTACCGGTATCTTCTTCAAGTTGCAAGCAGCCATGGCTCAGAGTCGTCCACTTCTCTTATAGCCCCTGCCGTGGTGCACTTGCAGGAGGCAAAGCATCGCAAAGTGGCCAAAGGCAAGGCAAAGGCCTGAGCTTCGCGCCGAGCTCCGCGTGACGCTGGACGGCGGCCCACCTGCAGCGGACGCTCCATGGATTCAGTGAGGGTTCACGCGCTCGGTCAGGTTCCGGCCAATAGTCTCAAGGCCTTGCGTCTGTGGATGCCGTCTTTTTGAAACTGGCCCCAAGCAACTCGCCTTGCAGGCACTCCTGACATCACCGTCACGTGGCCAAAGGGGGACAGGTTCATGCGGAGCGTAGTGCCTGGTTCCCTCCTGTAGGTCACCCAGCCTCTTGGAAGCTGTCATCATCTGTCTGCTTCTTTCAGTACCAGATCGCGGACTCTGATCCTGGTCAGCCAAACCACCTTAACCGCTTTAGCCACGGCCGGAACACAAGCCCTCAAAACTCAACCGTGACTTTGGAGACGCGTCAGGCCTGACGCACCTCATTGCCACAGCCTCGAGAGTCTGTCGCTCGAGGGCATTCCCCTCCCAAATTCTGCTTGAGACACGCTCGGCACTCGTGCCGCATGAAAGTGCGCCTCGCCAATTTTTTCCGCACCGCGGCATCAGACGATGAGCCAGCGTGCGCTCGTCTGCTCGTGCGTGATGCAGCCTCATCTGAATCTCAGGGATGTCCCACCCCTCTTCGCCTTAGTCGGACGCGGAGTCCGCTTTGCTGCGGTCTCGTGCGAGCAGCATGCCTTTAGTGAAACAGAAGCTTGGAGGTCCTCTACCAAGACATGTGGGCTATTTCTGCCAGTGGACAGGTTGCCTTTCGTGCTCGCCGCAACCCGAACTTCCCGTAAGGAGCCCAGCGCAGAGACGCTGACGACCTGTGCTGCTGCGGTCTATGCGAGTGTGATGCTGACGGTGTGACGAAGGGAGCCCTCAAGCTCGGCGATTGTCTCGATTTGCCCGGATGAGCTTGCTGCCGCCGGCTATGCTGCAAGCTCCCTCCCATCAAGACTTCTGAGCGATGCAGCTGTTGCCGGGAGCAGCCTGTTTTCGGCTTTGAACAACAGCGACAGTCATCGTGTATTCAGAGCGACATTCATGTGAAAAAGGCTGCGATCACATCCGGCCGAATTTGGCCTTCGTCGGCCTGAAGCTCGCGTGGATCTGAAGAGTCGAGGATGATCACCGGTCTCGACAACTTCACAAGCATCTCGTCCCAGGCTGTGAGGCGTGTGGGAGCATCGCTTTGCGTGCAACAGAGCTGTCCGGTTGCATGACGCACAGAGCCAGAGTCCATCGCCACAGAAAGCTTCAAGCCTCGCTTTCTTGTCGCCGCGCATCCGTCTCCTTGATGCACCGGGCGGTGAGGGGTAGTGAAGTCAGCCCTTTAGTTTCGGTCCGTTCAGTGAGTGTTCGACTGCACCGAAGCGAGTTTCCTGGCGCTGCCTTTGTCGCAAGCCTCCTCGCGGCTGGGCCTGGTGAGCGACCCAGGCGTCGCGGGCAGCCAGTACGCATGAACACGAGAAAGGTGACTGGCCCAAACGCCGGTGCAGCTGAATCTTGAAAGCTTCGAGCGGCTAGGCTATAGGCCAGGCTCGTGTGGCGCCTACCAAACAGCAATGTGCATTCTTTGCCAGATAGGAACATCAGCAGCCAAGCTGGTTGCGCCGCTGCGCCGATGCTGCCTGTAGCTGCAGTTTCGTGCTCGGCGGCTCGGTGTCGTGCCTGCTGACCTTGCTGACTCTGCTGAAAGGCGGGCCAGTGCCGATCAGGCACAGCGACTGCTCAGCCAAGCTTGCTTGCGTGGTCACCGTGGTCGTTTCAAGATGTCGCTGTCGACGGAACAGACCTTGCAAAGCTCTGGCCGCGAGTGTCTGTGCTGTGAGAGATCGCCAGGCTCCACGCATCAGAGATTGTCATATCACACTGAGGCGACATCGGCAAAGTTCGACAAGCTCGGATGAGTTCAGCATCAGAAGACATGCTGTCCAGCCAGTGTTGGCTTCATCAAGCCCCATCTCTAGTTCACAGTGTCGACGCACAGAATCGACATGGCACAGGTGGCGTGCAACCACGCGCCGGCAGAGCTGTTGCTTTCCGTGCTCAGGCAGTTCTGCCTGCAGGTAGATACGAATTGGCTGGATGGCAAGTTGTTTTTCATGTTAACTCTCCACTGGGGGTGGCAGCATTCAGGCGCTTGCGTCATTGTTTTGTTGGATGGTGCCCTTTGCTTCGTTGGAGTTGCTGGCGACACCCTGCCGGGCTGTGCCCCCTGCGGCCGAGTTCCCCGAAGTTGTGCCGAAGCTTTGGCGCAAGGGGTCTGGCCATGTGTGTCTGTGTGTCGCCTCGGTGTCCTGACAGCGGCGGGGCCCACAAAAGACGTGAAATTGAGCGCCTGAGCAGCCCGAGGCCGGCCAGCTGATGTTTCTCTCGCTGCTTCCCTTCCTCCTGCCTGGCATCGCAGCCCTGCGTGATGGGCGTGGCCCGGCAGGGAAAAGAATCACCGGGGTTTCAACAGCCTGGCTGCTCCTCGTGGCTTTGGTGACCCGACGATCCCGTTTGACATTGCCGGGAGGCGCCGGGCTGTAAGCTGCTTTCACCTGCCCGCGTCCCTGCCGTGCGAGAAAGATCGCCGCGCCCGCCGAGAACCAGAACACCTGCGTTCAATGCCATGTGCTCATCGTTTGCATCAGTGCCTTCCGCAGCACTACAGCCCCAAGCGGCATGAGCAAGTTTCAGCAGCACGGCTGCGCCTGCACCAGGCTGCCTCATGCCTGCACCATCCCCTTGGCGATCTTCTCGATTTTGCCAGGAGGCCGACCGGAGCCTGCTTCCTGCAGACGCCCCTGCCGGTGCCTTGCGGGCATATTTTTCGCGCCTCTGCGAGGCACCGAGGGCGAGGCCCCAGAGGGAGACGCGGAGCTCCTCTCATAGCGGCAAGTTGCGTTTTGCCACTGATTCCTGCTGCCTTGCCCAATTTCAAGCCATGTGTGCGGGGCCCTTGGCCTTGCCAGCTGGCGCGTGGCTTGAGGCGCTCAGGCCAGTGCATAAGATGCTCTGATGATCCTAGCTGGGACTGGCACTGGCCTGCAGTGTACTGCGCTGCAAGCCGCCGCGACAATGACGCAGAGGATTCTTCTTGGGTATCTTTCGCTTCCGTTGCCCGTCCCGGTCCTCGGCGCTTGCACCCTCGATATGCTTCCGATCCCTCCAGAAGGCCATGACGCAACTTCCGCGATGCAAGTCGCGTGCATGTCCCTGAGCTGTTCCAGCCTCCCGGTGCAGGTACGGGTCTTCCTGCTTGAGCATGTCCTCGGCCTGTCCGTGCGGGCAAACCGGTGTAAGAAGTCGTCGTTTGCAGGTTTCAACCGTCCCCACGGTTTTTTTGCAGGCGGTCTGTGGGCGGAACTATTACACTGCTTGAGTATGTCTAGTGTTCGGAGCAAGGTATTGGGCCAGGGCAAGATACATTGTGACTATATACACTAATCAATTTGGGCCAGCAGCATCGCAGCAGATGCTTTAAGCGCATCCTACATTGTGGTACTTGCAGTCCATCGTGCTCGAAGTGAATCATGATTCTCCGTGTCTCCCTGTGTGGCACGCTTCCATAACCAGCAGACTTCAGCCATATTGCCTGGTGCTGGAGGTAGGCGTGGCCCTAAAACCTCACCGTGGCTTGCCGTACAGAAGCCCATGCCGGACAGTTTAACTAGCTGTTCTACTACTTTCTCCCTGCGTACTACAGCCCGTCCATGTTTACAGTGTTTAGCCTACTTCTGGTAGCAGTCGCAGTGGCAATACGAGACGCCCCAGAGTGGTGTTCATTGCCCTGCAGACTCTAGGACATTGACAGTTTCATCTAAACCCACAGATTTAACTTGAAGGAAAGATTGCCTTCTTGAAGGTGGGACGTTCCCTTTTGGGACTTTGAGATCGGTTCCAATGCGACAGATGTCCATCTGCTTCGCCAAGCTCGGTGAGATCCACTTCGGCCTGCAACGACAACCTGCATGTTACATGTTGAGTCGCAGGAGGCCGGGGCTCGTCGCCCAGGCAAGGCACTGACAGCAAACCTTTATGTGCTTGGCTTCGACCGGCATGCTCTGCGCCAGTAGTCGCGAAAAGGCTGACGATAGCAGAGGCAGACGGTGGCGGAGTGACCCTGCATTGCTGCCCTAGTCCAAGCTGCCGTGACTGTATCGCCGAACACGGAGATCGTGACGAGGAAACTGGAGATGGGTTCCTTCTACTGCTACTTCTCGTGAGAGCATTTGTGTTGCGAGTGGCTCCTTCATTTCCGCTCCACACAAACCCGGAGTTGGACCGGCTGAAGATTCCCCCCATGGCCCACAACCAGCATGACTAAGAGCTACGAAGAGTCTCCCTTGCTGCTGAAGGCCTCCACTGAGGTGAAAAGACCTCCTACCGAACTCCTGACTAGTAAGCGGGGTCGCTGGGTTGTTCTTCTTTCCTCCAGTGACACGAGCCTTCTTCGACCCTCTTGCCAGACATGTGTTGAGTGTCACGGCAATGGACATTGACAGTTTCATCTAAACCCGCAGATTTAACTTGAAGGAAAGATTCCCTTCTTGAAGGTGGGATGTTCCCTTTCAGGACTTCAAGATTTGTTCCAGTGCGACAGATGTCCATCCGCTCAGCAAGCTTTTGTGAGATCCACTTCGACCTGCAACGACAAACTGCATGTTACATATTGAGTCGCAGGAGGCCGGGGCTCGTCGCCCAGGCAAGGCACTGACAGCAAGCCTTTATGTGCTTGGCTTCGACCGGCATGCTCTGCGCCAGTAGTCGTGAAAAGGCTGACGATAGCAGAGGCAGACGGTGGCAGAGTGACCCTGCATTGCTGCCCTAGTCCAAGCTGCCTCGACTGTATCGCCGAACACGGAGATCGTGACGAGGAAACTGGAGATGGGTTCCTTCTACTGCTACTTCTCGTGAGAGCATTTGTGTTGCGAGTGGCTCCTTCATTTCCGCTCCACACAGACCCGGAGTTGGACCGGCTGAAGATTCCCCCCATGGCCCACAACCAGCATGACTAAGAGCTACGAAGAGTCTCCCTTGCTGCTGAAGGCCTCCACTGAGGTGAAAAGACCTCCTACTGGACTCCTGACGTCAAACCTTCCAGGCACCAACTGACCTAGTAAGCGGGGTCGCTGGGTTGTTCTTCTTTCCCACAGTGACACGAGCCTTCTTCGGCCCTCTTACCGGACATGTGTTGAGTGCCACGGCAATGCTCGAAGTCAGACGTGTGAGAGGGTCTATGCCCATGCCTTCATTTCAGCGTGTTTTCTTCTTTGGGAAGGTTGCTCATCGGCTTCTTGCCTTGGCTGGATTCAGCCACGCCTAGCTCCCTGTTTTGGCGACTCTTTCAGCCAAGCTGGCGCTGAGCATTCTTTTTCGTGTACCGCTTTCCTCATTAGGTAGCCCTGCAAGTTACCTCTGAAGTCCATTTCCTGGTTTGGCTTCATTCAAGGATCTCAGCGACCCCCCCAGCGCTCAGACATGGGGCGGCTGGGTGCTGCAAGGCGTGTCGCAATTTCATGGGCAGGCGCTGGCTCGAGTTCTCCATGTGTTCCTGGGTCACGCGTGTGCGTTCGTTTTGAGCAGGGCCTTCTTGGCTCATTCAAGGAATGTAATAGGAGGCAACAGAGCCGAAGTCATACGGAACCGAAAGGCGCGAAAGGTGCTTAGCTCAGCCGATCTCCTTCAGGGCAGCGCCGGGTTAGGGCGGGCTGAGGCGGCGCTAGGGCCAACGCGACACTGGCACAGAGCCTGGGACTGGGTGCTTGCAAGGCTCCAGTGCGGTCTCTTGCCGGCTTTCCCCTGCGTTGTGCGATTTCTAGCCGTTCATCGCGCCCGGGCGATGTCCGCAACACGTCGCGCAGGCGGTGCCGCTGTCAGTAGAGCGCCGGGCACGAGAGAGAGGTAGTCTTGCCATCAGGCACCGTCGATTAGCCAAGGGCACCGACTCGGAATGACTGGGTGCCTTCAAGTCGAACTAGGCCTGTTTCGTTAGAGCCTTGCAGTCGTTCTGCAAGGTCCCTGGCGCTGAGCTGAGCTGCTGAGCTTCTGCCGCGGCTTGCCGGATTGTGGCCGAAGATGGCAATGTGTTCTGGCACACAAGGCGCAGAGAGCTACCCGAAGCTTTGGCCATGCTGTTGCACCGTTCTTTTTTGCCGCAGACTCGCCGTGTTTGGCCTGCCACATTGCGTTCCGCAGAGGGTCAGCATCACTAGCAAAGTAGACTAAGTAGATGTGAGATGTTGGGGGCGGTAAGATCGGTCTCCGGGAAGGCGCTTGCACTGGAGCTCTTGCATCGAGCAGTGGCATCACGGAAAGCATCCGGAGTTCACAGTCCATGATGAGGAGTTCGAAGCAGCAGGCAGCACCCCTGTTTTCCTAGGTTCAACTGATTGGGTTGCTTGCGATTCTGCACCGGTCGAGCAACTTCCCACCGTGGAGATGCTCTGTGGCTCACAGGCCAGCCCTCCGTGTGATTTTGATGTCAGGCACGGCATCTCTCTGTGCAAAGCCGCAACTTTGCATTCCTGCTTCTCTGCATCGTCGGCATTAGCTCAAGGCGGAGGTCGGTGACCGCATCTTGCCGTCGTTGTGCTATACCTTGCAGCAGCCGAAGCGAGCTGGAAAGTTGGAAGCTAGGAACGCTGGGAACGCTGGGGCCGCTGTTCGAGATGCTGCCCCACACAGGGGGTCCTGAAACCAGGGTGTTGCTGGCCGCCTGCTAGCCGTGAGTTAAACTCGTAGCAACCAGCTCTTTGCTTTGGCACCTCTCTGCATCATCGATTGCCATGGCCGTGAAAAGGCCTTAAACCCTGCTGCGTCGGGTCTTGCTAAGGAGGGAGCTGCATTGTTTGGTTTGGAGGCCCCCCCCGCATGGCAAAAAGGACGTCCCTGTTCGGGATGCAGGGCTTTTCTCCCACAAGTGTTTTTTCCCTGCATCTGTTTAGATCTGTCTAACCCTGGTTCGTTGCGACTTCTTGTCCTTCCGGCACAGTGCGTTCCTCTTCTTCGAATTCCTTCGCTCGAAAAAGCAGGCCGGTCGGCGGGAAGCCTGCAAGACCTCGGGTAGAACGATGCAGGAGGCAAAAGCGACTGCTCCAGCGGAGCTCTCTGCATCCCATGGAAGCCCTTTAGAAAGCTTGCAGCAATCAACACGCACCAGCCCGGGCCCCGCTCGGCTTCAGCACCAAGTCCAACTGAGCTCCGCATGCCCCTCGGAAGCCAGAAGCGCCGTGTTTGCCAGATCTGGACTGTGGCAGTTGGCTTTGCTTTCAAGCGATCAGCTGTCTTTCGTCGTCTGCGTCGTGATGTGGTTTCTTCGGACTCGGGGGCGTCAGAGCAGATCCCTCTGAGTCTTCGCCTTGTGCCCGCCGCCCGGAGATTCGCCGCACGACTGCTGCCGACTGTCGCATGCTGGCACCGAGAAGTTGCGGCATTGGTACCTCCGGTTTTTCCAGGTGCCCAGCTTCTGATGATGATCCTGTCCGCGAACTCACCGGGCATCTTCGTCGTCAAGATTGGGATTCTTTTGCCTTGTGCACGTCGCAGACCGAGCTTCAAGCAACCACCTCCCTTTCCGCAAGCTTTACACACTTCATCGGCACCTGAAGGGCAAGCTAGGTGCAGGCTCAGGCGAAGTTCCCTCTATCAGGCGAACGCCGTCCCTGCTGGCACTTGCGAGTCGCGTGCGGCCGGCGGGACCTCCGTGAGTTTTGAGGTGATTTCCCGTGCAAGAGATGAGAGCCCTCTTCTGGAAGCAGGCGCCGGCAAGATTCGGGGCTAAGCTCAATGGGTCCCCCGTAGAGCCCACCAGTCCCTAGCTGCGAGATAGCTATAGAGCAGCGCATCCATCCCACAAGCACGGTGTGGGGACCGCTGTCCGGAACATGCCATCTACAGCCGCAGAGCGACTCAGCGTCCCACCTGATGCTTTGCAGGAGTCGGAGTCGCAGAGGCAGTCCCAAGCCGGATGACGTTCTCTAGGCCATGTCCCGGAGCTGCTTTTAATGTGGACCTCGCGATGAGAAGCCACGAGAGGACAGGGCATATGGTGAGTCTCGGAGCTGTTTCTGGAAGTCCTTGCGGATAAAGGGAGCTTGAAGCATGGCGAGGAAGGTTTGGTTTGGAAGGCCCCCGAGCGTTCCTCTTCTTCCTTCGCTCGCAAAAGCAGGCCGGTCGGCGGGAAGCCTGCAAGACCTCGGGTAGAGCACTGCAGGAGGCAAAAGCGACTGCTCCAGCGGAGCTCTCTGCATCCCATGGAAGCCCTTTAGAAAGCTTGCAGCAATCAACACGCACCAGCCCGGGCCCCGCTCGGCTTCAGCACCAAGTCCAACTGAGCTCCGCATGCCCCTCGGAAGCCAGAAGCGCCGTGTTTCCCAGATCTGGACTGTGGCAGTTGGCTTGGCTTTCAGGCAGAGATCAGCCACGAGGCTTTTGAAGGACTGAGGTCCGAAGCAGATTCCACCCTGGCAATCGCCACTGGCCCTTGTCCCGGGTGGCGGAACCACGGGTGCTGCCGCGTAGTCAGTGCAGTCGTATAGGGCATGTCGGCTGCGTGACTCCCTTGTCATCTTCATGCCTCCGCCCGCAGCTCGCCGTCTAGCAGCAAAAAACTGCACCTCACAGTCCCCTTGTTTGGGGAATGCGGTGGGTCACTCTTCAACGGAGTCTTGCCGGAGCTGCACCGTGAAAAGTCTCGGGCATCAGCCTTCCCTCCTTCTCTGAGACCTCGAATTCTGGAAGCTTAGACCTCGACGCTCTGACCGCAGGTGTTCCGCCATTGCCATGGGCCGGCT